ATAAGTATTCATGTCAATGTGATTAAACCTTGTCGCATACTGTTGATTATCTACATATTCAAATAGAGCCATATTTATCTTAAGCAGCGTAGGAACACAAAATTCCAAATTCCTAAAGGACACAAAGATTTATTAGTGAAAGATTTCTTCCGAGTTTATATTGAAATGTAACACCATACAAAATAAAGATTCCTTTTATGGTGGTGTTACACTTTATTATATATATTTCTACCGTTGGCATCGATCCAATAGAGCGACACTCAGATTGAAAAGTTCTTCGCGTATTTTCCTTGACTTGCATCTAGTAAGATTTTCCAGTTTATCCAATATACATATCAATTTTTTTGATGCATGGCTAAGCCATTTTCCCGTTCGTTCTTTCCGCGTAATGTTATTAATTTTGTCATCGACCGATAATGTTCCTGAAAATATTTTGAAATTTAATATTCAAATGTTTGTTGCTTCAAGAATGATACAATTTTTATTAATATTTTGAGATTTTTTGAAATGAAAAATATGACAGAATTCAGTTATTGGGGTTTCCGTTTCGTATTTAAAATCAGTTATACGTCATATTTATTTCTTGTCTTTGCAAATTTCTTGTCATTTCGTGGTAGAACTGTTCTAAAGTTTACTGTTCTAAGTAAACACGATATTATATCACAATTTTTTTAAAGATGCAAAATTACATTTGAATTGATCAATGACAACCCAGCGAACAAAATTGTAACGTTTTTCATCCATTTTAACGTTAAAAAACATAACGCTTTAACCCATTTTGGTGGTTAAGTTTAAGCGAACTAATTTAGTAACAAATAAAATGTGTCTTCAAATTGGATGATTTCTTAATGTATAAAGGGAGTTGCCGCAAATATTTTAAGAGCATTTTAAGACTTTCAGACGCATTGAGAGCTATTTAACGAAAATTTTGTTGCTTGGCCAGTTCATTATTTGGTGTTGTGGCTTAAAAAAATTATTTTTATTACTCTGCCACCCAAAATGCTTCACTTTCATTAATTAATTTTTAATGAAAATAGTATTCTTAATATCTAAAAGATATGCACTTTCTAATTTTGAAATTTTTCTTACCACAATGTGTTTGTAATGAAATCGTTGTCCTAGTTGATGATTTCATCTTTGATTTTTCAATCGTCATTTTCGTTTGTTGTGATATGTTTCGGTTAATTTGATGATCCTCAAAAATTAGTCGTAGAATTCGGCCAAGTGCAACGATTGAGATCTAAAATGATATGTTTGATAAATGATTTATTATGCTCTACGTAGAATCAATCAAATGTCAATCTTTCAAGTTACTTCTTTAAGAGAGTCGGGAATAGCACTACATCCTACAGAAATATTTGTAAGTGTCTGCACAATTTTTGGTATCAACAGGAACATAACATTTGCTATATGTTGTCGCTGTTCATAACTATTTTTATTAGCTTCATCGTGAACTTGAAATACACTGATAATGCAATTCACGGCATTAAATCTAAAAATAAAATATAAAAAATGTTTTTTTGTTGAAAGATTTAAGTGTATTTTTCTAATTATAGAATATAAAATTAAATCATAGAGATCATTGTGAATCTGATACAAACCTTAATGAATTATATGTGTCATTGGCTAAAATGTGATCGCTTATTGATAGCACTTGTGCAAACAAATTCAAATTTTCTTTGTTATAAAATTTCGTGATAGCTGCTTGTGTTGATTTACGAAAAATCACTTCGAAACAATTAATAATATTTAATTTTAGTTCTTCCGATAGATTCATTTGTATAGACATAAATGATGGAGCCACACCAATATGCTTCAACAAAATTGTTAGCATTGTACATAATGATATATCGGTTTTTAATTGTGTATTTGAGAGAATAACGCTGGCGGTTTCAGTAAGATGGCAAAGAATTTCATTTCTGTTTCCATAGAATTAATAATCAATTTTTAATTCAAATACATTACCAGGCCACATGTTTACGGTCGAAATTAAAGCCAAATATGTATGAAGTTTCGACGTCAAAATGGATGAAAGAAATAGAAAAAAGAGTTAGAAATTTATCTATGATGATTTATAAATCTAAGATCAATAAAGGATATAACTATACATACGGCACATTTTTTTCTGCAATTATTCTAAATATTGTTGTAAGCAATAAATGTTCTTGACTTGAAGAGCATATCGCTTGTATATGTATTTTGATGAACTTTTTGAAAATAATAACATTTTCTACTGTTGGATTTTTCAGAAATTGCTGAAAAATGGGTGGAAATAAGTATTCTATTTCCATATTTCACGCTATTTTTATTGTACTGAGTTTGACATAACCTCAAAGTCATGCTGTAATATGCTTCATTTCCAATTTTGACAGATACAAGATGTAACTCTAAAACTGATATATAAAATAAAATACATGGTTCATGAATATTTCTTTTATTCAAGTCAAATATCCAATATTTATTTATTTGTTTGATGATGATGCAAGAGGATTTCGCAGTACTAATATAACTGAATCGCCTCTAAGAAACATTTTTGAAATAAATCGATCTTTGTTCACTGGTTTAACCTTTTTCTTCCCTTTTCCTGTTCTCGGTATTTCGGTCCACATTTCTTTCACGCTGTTTATTACGAATAAAACAAAAATACAATAAAAGTTGAAATTATTCATTTCATTAAAATAAAATCAACAAATCGTACCTTTCTAGTACCATGTTACAGTGACGATCAAATGCCTTCACACGTCCCAATAACTTCTTGTTATTGCGGCAGTTAATTAAAACTTGCGTATTGTTCTTCACTGATTGTGTCAAAACCGATAATGGCCCCGTATTAAATTCTTCCTCTTCTTGACGTGCCAACTCTTCAGGTGTTAGTTCTGATTTTGGTTTATTCAAAGACCTGAATAAACATTTTAATAAAATTGGGTTGAAACTAAAATGTATCTTTACATAATTGAATAATAGATACTTACATTGTTTACGAGATCTTTTTTAATTACCAAAAACTATTGAAAAACAAACAATTTTATTGTATATATTTAACTTCTTGAAAGTTTTTCAGCAACTCCAATAAAACCGGCAGAATAAAAAGTGTCGCGTCTTTTCATATGACAGATTGAATGCAGCATAACCTGCTGCCAAAACAAGGAACTAAAAACAACGAGTGACATTTTATTTTTGTTTGTCATCATTGTAGTCATTATTTGAGTATTTTCAAGTTGTTGAAAAACAAAAGACTATATTTGAAGAGCCAAAACTTTTTATTAAAAGTAAAAATGTCACGCGGTAGTTCGGCTGGTTTTGATCGTCATATTACAATATTTTCTCCGGAAGGTCGATTATATCAAGTTGGTGAGTAATGAATGAAAATAAATGACGAAAAAGATAAAATAAAAATAATTTATTTCGTTTTAAGGTTATGTTTTTGAATTATGACTAAGTACTTTTCACTATTCAATCTTGTACCATTTAGAATATGCCTTCAAGTCAATCAATCAAGAGGGTCTAACATCAGTGGCCGTAAAAGGGCAAAAGATTGCTGTGGTCGCCACACAGAAAAAAGTGTCTGAAAAGTTGATTGATCCATGTACAGTGACTCATCTCTTTCGCATCACGAAAACAATTGGTTGTGTGATGACCGGTCGCATTGCTGATAGTCGATCTCAAGTACAACGTGCCCGTTATGAAGCTGCCAATTGGCGTTATAAGTATGGTACAGATATTTCGGTCGATGTTTTATGTCGTCGAGTGGCTGATATTAACCAAGTGTACACTCAAAATGCTGAAATGCGCCCACTGGGATGCAGTATGATACTAATTGCATACGATGACGAAAATGGAGCTTGTATTTATAAAACTGATCCAGCTGGGTACTATTGTGGTTTCCGCGCAGTTTCAGTTGGTGGAAAACAAACTGAAGCAAATAGCTACTTGGAAAAGAAATTGCGAAAACGTACTGACTTGAAGGAAAACGAAGTCATTCAACTGGCAATTTCATGTATGTCAACCGTTCTGGCAGTCGATTTCAAACCGTCTGAAATTGAAATTGGTATCGTCACTGAAAGCGATCCAATATTCAAAACTTTAACTGAAGAAGAAATTGACGTTCATCTAACAGCAATCTCAGAAAAAGATTAAGAAACGCATTTCTGTAAACCATTTATCTTCAATAAAAACAATATTAATGAATGAAGATTATCGAAATAGTTACATTTTTATTTACTCTTTTCTTCAATAAGATGACAAAAATGCAATTTAAAGTAATGATTGGAAATCCGTCACCATGAAAAATCGACCAATTCGTGCGAATTTTTGGACTTTTTCATTTATATTTATTCATAATGTTTGTTTTCAATTTTAACAGTCATTACAAATCAAAGTTATGTGAGCATAGACATTAAAGATCCGGCATATGCCATAGGTTTAACGTTTGGGTGTGGCACTGCTTCATATGTAGTAAAATTTGGGTTCATATCCTTTCCATTCAAAGTTATAAATGCACCCAGATTATCCATTGTATCACTGAAATTGACAATGAATTGTTTGAATCAATCAATATTTTTTATCAATCAATTTTACAAAATACCAGTAATTAGGAGCGGAAAAAACTGTGATACACTTTCCATTGTGGGCAATCTCGTATCCTGAAATTTTTTTTTGAAAACATATTATATATGATTGCCCGAGAATGAAAGCGAGACTTCTATTCACAACTTATTGAAATGTAACACCACCATACAAATATGCTGACAGTCAGAAGTCTCTCTTTCATTCTCGGACATTCATATATTCTGTATATTATATATATATATATATATATATATGTGTATATGAGATAATACCAATAGCTTTAACTTCATGGGATCGGATAATATAATCGAGTTTATTTGCAGCACAAAACTGTTCCGTTATATCAGGACCAAACTGAATACCAACTCCACGTTTCGAAAATCCACGTCCGTTCTGTGGTTGTGGATCAGACCAGAGCAAATCACACATTAAACCTTCTTCGGGTGGTTGACGGTTACGTTCAATATTACGCAAGTCATCTAATGTAACATTATCTTGTGCAAATAAACCTCCGTGCATAACAAGTACACGGTTATTTATACAGTGACATAATGGCAACCAGTTGTAAACCTTAAATGACAAATAAAAAATGTAATTACTTTAGGGGGTTTGATAATAGATTTTTAAAGTAAAATGAATTTATATATTTAACTAGTTTGTGAGTGGATGAACACGACTAAATTTGAAATCATTCCAGCAAACAACTTTCCTTAAATTTGTAATTTGGTAGTTGTAATCGTACAATCCACATATGGGTCCAACGAATACTTCGAAGAGAGAAACAAAAGTATAATACGCATATAACAGAGTCATATGAGAGTAATGAAACCAATTGCAATAAATTAATTAATTGAAATTCAACGTACGACCAATAGCAGCCAATACGAAAAAGCTGGCTTATATAATGTGAAAACCACCGTTTACTGTTTGTGTATGTTGTTTCTCGCTTTGTTCTGACATGGTTACAATGCGTTTACCAAATCTCAATTTTTGGACCTTATTTTTTTAAACTTGTGGTCAAGCCGTACTCGAGCATAGGTGATGATGAGGGTTCCTAGGGTTCGGATTACCCCCCTCTAAAATATTTTTAGGAACCTTCAACAATTTTGAGTGAGGATCTTTTTTTACTCTTCACTTTTTTGGCCGAGAAAATTCTTTCGATTTGCTAGGGATTTTCGCCAAAAAAGTGAAGAGCAAAATAAAAACGATTCTATCCTCATTTCCTACAAATTGTTGACATCGTCAGAGACCCCATGGATTTTTCCAGGGACCCCCTATGGAATTTTGACCCCCCCCCAAAAAAAAAAAATTCCGTCATCATCTATGATACTCGAGATATTTGACTTTTTTTTGTAGAGATATAGATAGATTCAAAGGGTTCCTACTAAATATAAAAGATGTGGTTATATACCTGTGTGAACATCGTTGACATTGTGTTAGTATACTTGGCTACAACCCTAGGTATAATTAGAAGAAAAAATTGAAATTAATGGAAATTAATCAACAATAATGGAAATGAAATTGAAATAATCTAAACAATTTTCATTTTCAGTATGGTGCGCTTATGCAAACAGATTGTTTAAAATTGAGATATAGTAAATGGAACAAAAATAATCGAGAATTGTAGACTCATTAGTCTATTCCATTGAATAGTATTTTTTATGTACTTACTCCCCTGAAAAACCATACATTTGGTTCATATTATAGCTTTCATGGTTTCCACGAGATAAGAAGAAATAATCTGGGTATAAAAGCTTGAAGCCAAATAAAGTGAAAATACATTCAACTGAAAACGATCCCCTGTCAACAAAATCGCCATTGAAAAGGTACGGATTTTCTGGTGAGGGAAATCCATTTATTTTAAAAATATTCATTAAGTCATAAAATTGACCATGAATATCGCCACAAACTGTGAACTTTGAATTATCCGGAACAGCAATGTCAACCAAAGATGGTTGTTTTCGGAAATATGCATCAATATCGCATAGAATCTAGAAGAGACATTCGTAAATAACTTTATTATTATTATAGTTCACATAGGAAAAGTTAAATTTTGTAAATGAATAAGCAATTACCTTGTAGGCAAATTTTCTATGTAGCTTCTTTTGAGCTTTAAAAAATTCCATGAGTTCTTCCATGAATTTCGGTGTTATTTTCCTAAGGGGAAAAAGAATAGCAATCCCTCAGTAATTTTTAAGTAATATTATCTTCTTGCTACGGATATGAATACGAACCCATCTTCTAGCTTTGGCCCATCGTATTCATCTTCGATTTGAATTGCTTCTAAGTCACAATGTATTTCTGCTAAGGTTTTTTCTTGAACATCACTTGAAATGGCTTTTTCAAACGCTTGTTTCCGAACTAATTTATTACATTCTGTATATTTCATTGCGGCATCTTTGTCATAAATAAATATAAAAAATAAGGTTTATTTTTCAAGTATTCACAACTTTAACTCACCTTTGTCGTGTGGTTTCCGTTTGGCAACGAATTCAAAGTCCGAAAGTGCCTTTTTGAACTTTCCCAAAGACATTTGAGCGGCCGCTCGCCTATAATATCCTTTCAAATAAGTTGGATCATACTTAACAGCTAATATACCATCTTCCAGAGCTGATCCAAAAGACTCTTGTCTCAGATGGGCTAAACTTCTATTTGCATAGTAGATTGCGTTCTTTTTATCTAAATCAATCGCTTTTGTATACATTTCGATAGCTTTGTCATATTCTTTGTCTGTAGACAACAAACGTTTGGTAATGCAACGATACATCCGGAATAGACGTCAAATATGTGTGAAGTTTCAGTCATTTTCAACATCATCAAGTAGGGGAAACAAGAGAGTTAGAATGTTATTTATAAATTAAGATCAATAAAGGCAATCCTAACACCCATAATCAAAATGGATCTCATTCGGATGTTGCGCAAAGTAATATTTCATGAATTCCATCCTATTTGGACTGTAGAGTGAATGAAGCTAAGTCGCTTGTATATTTATATTGATTAAGTGTTACGTGTTTTAAAGCTAAATTTATCTAAAAATGTTTTTCATATTCTAGTATTCTTATAGTAATTTTTGTTTCCAATGAAACAATGAATAGATACTACAATTTTCTAAAAAAAATCTTACTTTTAAAAAATATATTCGCTGCATTTTTATAATTTTCAGCTGGTGGATAATGTTCTTTGGTCAGCTCTCCTAACGTAGTATCCTTATCTTCAGACATCTTTGAATAATATTCAATAATAATAATATTTATCAACTTTTTATTTTTTATTTTTTTATTTTTTTTAAATAACATGAAACTAGTTCTAACTCAAATGTATTTCATCGATTGACTGACATTTCTACTTGAAACGTTTGACAGATTACGAAATCGAAGAGCATAAGCACATGTTTTTAAATTAGGTTGTGTGAATTCAACGTGATGCATGCGTGTTTTTTTGAATGAAACGACTTTGAGTATGAAAGTAATGTTTATTGAAAACCAAAATTTATAAAGAAATAATTCTCGTTTGTTTTGTAATTGTGGATTTTGCTGAGAAACAAAACATATTACATTTCAATTGAATGAATATAGAGCGTTTTACCGTTTGAGTGTCATGATTGTTCTCTAATAAACTTCTATTTGATGTGTTATCCTCATATCCATTCAATAACCTCAACAAAGTGACTCTGAATTTGAATGATGAAATCTATCTCCA